CTGAAGCTCGAACGAACAACGGAAAGATCAAAGTGTCTAACATCACTGCGGAGACGAGACACGAGTGTTAAAAATGCAACTTTTACCTTGTTTAACACGACAACAAGAGTTCACCTTCCCTCTGCAGCTACGTGCAAACCGTCGGCGCCATCTTCGTTGTTGACAGTCCGTGCGATAAAACGCTCCGGAGAGAAACACGCGTTAATGACTGTGCTGCGTTCCTCTTACTGCGATTAGATTTCAGTTTTTGAAAGAATTAAAAGTCTCACATATTTTTTTTTACCAAAGTTTTTTTTATTTGAAAGGGAACTCTTTCAATAGAGAATATTAATAATGTTATTTTGAAAAGTCACTATATTAGTTTACATTCCTTGTTGTTTTATGCTAATAGTTTGATCAGGATTTTCTGAATTGTAATGTCTGAATGAAGGTATTGATCCTTAAGGGGAAACGTTTCAACCCAAAGCATCACAGAACAATAAAATAAGCAGTTAAAGTCAACATGTAGTTCTCCTTACTCATAATTCCAGTTTACACTGAATTTATTACGTTTGCTTCAAAATTGAATTTTACCACGTTCACAGGCTTCAGCATTGGCCACAAGACGCTCCTCTGATTTTGAAAACAGTAATTCGTGTCGGCGTTATAAAGGACTGTGTTTCTGCTAATCCTTTTTAATTAATTTAATTAATTTCTATATTCACTGTCTTCATGCGGTCCTTTTAAAATAATAATAAGATATTATAATATTATAACAACATTTATAATTTACCTGGACCGAAAACTTTAAAACTTTATTATCCACAAATAATCAAAATCGTTAGTTTCTCTTAGGTTCTTCTTTTCTGTTAAGAAAACCAAGTGAAATGATCAAACTGATGTTTTAAAATAATCAGCTCATACTCACCAGTAAATGCTCAGTGTGCTGGAGCTGCTGCTGTGAATGCACAGTTGGTCCAACTGAAGAGATTTTATCTCCGGCTGCAGTGACACAGCAAGAAAAGAGCGCGAGGAGAAAGAAATATCAGAAACCTTCTGGACGAAGCGACGTTTGTGAGCGGGCAGAATTCAAGGCCACAGCAGCAGATCTGACTGAAGCTTCACAGATATCAGCAGATATCACAGGTTCCTAAATGAACATGAGTGTGGCTCAGCCCTTTGATTTATACCACAGTAACCTTTTATTCATGTCACCGAGCTGCTGAAGCTGGCATAAAGGGAAGGTTTCAACACGCTGCTGGACTCAGGTATAAAATTCAATAAGAACTGCAGCTGGACTTGAACCTTGAGCCTCAGTGTTTAAATCCACTGACAGACAGAACCAGCCCAGCTCTCCAGCAGCTCTGACGGATCAGAAATGTACTCTGAGGTTACAAAACATGCACACGAACGAAACAGACAAAACCTCCTTAAAACAAAAGTATACACGATTTTAATTCAGAAAACTTACACAGAAGATCTTTAAAGCATAAGACTACCTGCTGGAGAAGTGGGTCATCTGGAGGTTTGATCTCATGATGCAGAGGAGAGCCACAGGAGTGGCAACTTTTAATTTTGACCTTAAAAGTAGAAAAACATATTTGCTGGACTTGAATCCTGAACCTTTTAGATAAAATATGATGAGACCATAATCAGAGCTCTCCAGCAGCTGATGTCTGAAGACCCTCCAAACTAAAAGGAAAAGAAAAACACACAGAGAGCAACAGAAACTGTATAAAAAGGTTAAGGAAAGCCCCAGAACACACTCTGGTTCAAAATGAAGTTAAGTTCTAATTAATACAAAACATTACATTTAAATAATAAATGTCCACTAATAAAATATATAACAATAAAAAGAAGACTGTATGTATGTATGCATTAAACACATGCACTAGCTCTCTGTAGCTTTAAAAAAGGCAGCCGATGCTCAAACCTACAGATAAACTTCACTACCCAGAGGCACTGGCGAGAGAGGGTCGCGCAGGATTATGGGTAAACAGGAAGTAAACAAATACACGTGTAAGATGGCGCTTTCAGAGCGGTCCTCGGTTCAGGGGTCAGTTAAAGAGGTTTTAAGGGAGTTCCAGGTGTCGTTTTTCGCTCTGACTCGGCTCCCTTCGTTTCCCTGGACTGTGAGTACGAGTCTGGCCGAACTTCATTCAGAAATCTCCGCATTTTAGCACCAAAGCTTTTCAATCAGCCTCTGCCTGTGAAACATGAGTAAAGCAATGCTTGTAATCAGTCAAGGGACCTCCCTGAATAATTTTGGTCTCAGTTCATAAAGATAATCTTTATTCTTTCTTTTAATTTGTTTGTATGTTTTCAAATTGGCCACGGGCTCTCTGAGCCTGCTTCTGCCGGAGATTTCTTCCTCTTAAAGGACATGTTTTCCTTTCCACTGTCGCCCAGTGCTTGCTCGTAGGGGTCGTCTGATTGTTGGGGTTATGGTGGGTCTACCTTACGATATAAGCGCCTTGAGGCGAGTGTTGTGATTTGGCGCAATGTGAATGACTTGAATTGAACTTAAAACGTGACTTACACAGAGGTTGAACTTTTTATCTGCTTACAGTTTGTAGAAAAAGACCTTCAGAGCAGCGGGTCACCAGAGCTCATTTCTCAGGTGCTGAAACAGGTGAGTGTTCCTCCATCGTGCTGCAATCATAAAACAGCTTGGTCAGTGTAATGAACAGTCACATGTTTTTACAGACGTGCCTTCATCCCCTGTGCCGGAAGTTTCCACCTTCAGTCAGATACAGGAGGCTGTTTCTCTCCCAGCTCATCAGACGGGTAAGGAGAGGTTAACTCTCAGATTATTAGTTGAGCTTTTTTTTTTTTGCTCTGGGCAGAAAGATGTTGAAGTACTCGATCACAGAGTCAAACCCGGCTGTGTGCTTCCTGGTTTCTTCCTCCACAGCTGGAAGCTTCAGGCTGTGAACCCCTGGATGAGCTGTACGATGCTCTGGCTGAGGTGGTGGGCGCTGAGGAGACCATGGAGTGCTACAAGAGCTACCTGCTGGTACCGCACACAGAAAACCCCCAGTGTCACTGTTACCTTTATATCAAATTATTTGTTTTGTGCCATAAAAATATCACGATCTGATTTTCGGTCTGAATCGCCCGGCCCTACTTTTGCCAGCTGTTGCTTGCAGGAGTCTTAATTTGAAGTGCAGCGATGTTTGTGTCCTGCAGCCTGCTGGTGGCGCTGTGAGCTTGATGGAGAACATTGCTCTGATCTCAGAGGGGACCACCGGGCTGGTGACGTGGGAGGCGGCTCTTTACCTGGCAGAGTGGGCTCTGGAGAATCAGCAGGTCTTTACAGGCAGGTAAGCGGAAGGATCTGCAGGTCGTCGCCCTCCAGGTGGAGCTTCTGCAGCTTTTAGATTTGCTCCTCCTCCTTCAGGACGGTGCTGGAGCTGGGCAGCGGTGCGGGGTTGACAGGTATCGCCGTCTGTCGGTCGTGCAGCCCGAAGCGATTCATCTTCAGCGACTGTCACTCCACAGTGCTGCAGAAACTCAGAGACAACGTCCGGCTGAATGGGCTGAGCGAGCAGACGACCCCAGCGGTCAGCGTGGAGAAGCTGGACTGGACGGCAATCTCAGAGGAAGAGCTGAGGGAGATCGGAGCTGATGTCATCATCGCCGCAGGTCAGATTTTTGGAGATGGCGTGGACACACATTCACACACCTCAGTCTGTTCTGGATTTTGTGGAGCTGTTGACAATCTGCTTTCTCAGATTTGGAGTTAAAGCAGATTCCTGTTGTTTGTTTGTCGTGGTGCAGACGTGGTGTACGACCCCGACATCGCAGGAAGTCTGGCGAAGCTGCTGTCCATCGTCCTGAGGTGTTCGTCTGCCGAGGTTCTCCCTCAGGTCTTCATCTGCTCCACGATAAGGAACCTGGAGACGTACGGCGGCTTTAAACAGCAGCTTGGTAAGACAGCGCTCAGGAGGAGGAGGAGGCGGCTGTGGTGAAGATGGTTCAGATTAATTCAGACTTAAACCTGATCAGAGTCTGGTTTACTTAAACCTGACGATCTGCTGTGCCTCTTTGGCTCATGCTAACCTCACGTGATCGACCTCATGCTCGAGTCTGAGTTTCATCAGCTTCGCCCACAAAAACGCGTTTTCTGCCTGAAATGAACAGTAAACATATAACACAAGGGGAAAAATACTGTGGTTTGCTGTAGTAAGTAGTTCTTTAACCAGCTGTGCAGTGTCCACAATTCATGAAATTCATGAAGCAAAAAGGACCTGGAGACAGCTCACAGGAAACACTCAGACGCTCCAGTGTTGACAAAACGAGACTGCAAATCTGGCCAGATTTGATCCTGGATACTTCCTGGTTGCAGTGGGAATAAATAATAATAGTTGTTTTTGAGGCGTGCTTGGGGAATTATGAAGATGATTTTATAGAGATCAGGATTTTCTCAGTGCAGGACGTTGGTTTGAACGAAGTCATTGTTTGTTTGTTTTGGCAGAAGCTGAAGGAGTCGGCCATGAAGTGATCCCAGCACCCGTCAACCACGTGTTTCCTTATAACAGACAGTCGGCTATAGAGCTCATCAAACTGCGCAGATGACACGAGGGGAGCATGATAAAGATTTTATTTACAAATGTACATCCTCATCCTCATGACAACTTCCTTTATACATTAAAGTGAAGAAAGGAAAAACGCCAGGAATAAAAAAAAGAAGATCTCAGAAGACTTCGTCTTTTCACCCACTGATCCATTTAAATTTTAAATGTACATTTATCAGAAAACCCCCCAAACAAACAGTTTGGTCCTTTACGCTCTCACTCTGCTGTAACTGGTGCTCATCTCATCCAGGCATTCACTGGATACTGGACTCAAAGGCTGGGCCTACTTTATTCCATGAAGTGCTCACCAGGCACAAAAGGAAAAAGTCTTGTTTCCATGGTGATGTCTACTGCACGTGCCCAGTAGGGCTTACAAAGCGAGACTTTCATGAATTAAAAAAAATGGTTATAAAACAGCAGCGCTGTCTAGCTCTCTAAATAGAGCCAAGGTTATCTCAGAGCAGTGATTAGAGGCAGGATGTTCTGGTCCCAGTTGTCATCCCAGCGCTGCCCCCTGCTGGAGCGGAGGTTCCTCCTGAAGGTTCCCAGTTTGCCGTCTGAACTGGGAAAGTCTGACAGGAGAGTCTGGAATCATAAACGTTCAGCATTATTTGAAAGAAGTCAAAAGAGCGTGTCGATCACCCTGTTTGTTTTTTTGAGAATAGAAGAGAGAAGGTGGAGTGCTCAGTCCAGTTCAGGGACTTCAGTTAGCTGAGGTGCTGCTACAGCCGCCTGTGTCATCCTCTCATCACAGATGTGGCCACTTCACTCCCACTCAGGCTTCAGAACCCACAAAACCATCTTTTATATACAGTCTATGCTTAAATCGTGTTGTACGGTATTTTCAGAGAAGAATAAATGTTGGTAGATATTAGAGTCCATATCAGGGTCTGCCCGAATCTTTCTCCTGATCATGTGACTGGTTTACAGGCATCTCTCACCTTCAGCTGCTCGGCGAGCTCTGCAGAGTCTTTGAAGATCAGCCCGTTCTCCTCGTGCTTCACCAGCTCATCCAAGCTAGGAATAAAAATACAGCCGAGTCAGGTTTAATTCACGTTCATGAGCTTACTGGAAGCACATCCTCAGCTCCAGTTTAAATAGGTGGACATCGACACAGAGAGGGAAGTATTTACAGAGGTCACTGATGAGCATTTTACTTTGCAACCAGTGGAGTCGCCCCCTCCTGGTCACTAGAAAGAATGCAGGGTTAAGAGGTCGGCTCACCAGTTGAAGTGGACGGCACAGACGGGGAGGCAGCAGCCGAACATGTCCACCACCTTCATGGGCAGATCCAGACCGCTGGACGACTTGTGGAGACAAACACCCAGGTCTGCTGAGCCTGGACGACAGAGAAGGAAACTCCTCCAACGACCTGCAGGAACCTTTGTGCGCAAACACGAGTGAGACTAAACTGGTCGAACAGACCAAAATAAATACTAAAATACCTAAAAGCAGAGGGTAATCTTCTGCCTCCAACCAGGGGGTGCAGATCTCCACGTGCTCCAGGTGCAGGGAGTCTATGAGCTTCATGTAGTGTTCCTTCTGAGGACCCTTACCTGCACAAACGCACAAAAACACACAGAGTGGAAACATGTTCTGAATAAAGGAAAATCTTCTAATCTGTAAGCAGCGAGCTGGACTACCTGTGATCACGCAGAGTAAAGGTGGTAAGGAAGCTCCTCCCCTAATGAAACCTTCGTACTCTGGTGGGAACAAACAGGCGACAGGTGAGGAAACACGTTTCATGGATTATTTAAACGTTCGTTTCTGGAACAGCAGGTCGCACCTTCGAGGGCCGTCAGCAGGATGGAGAAATCTTCGTCCTCTGCAGAGAAAAAATGTCCTGAATCAGTGATTCAGTGTTTCCAGAGATGAAACACAAGGTGCAAAATAAAGTGAAACTGGCTGAATTTGGAAAATTTTACATTCTGTTTACAATAGAAGCTGCAGCCAGAAACCGTCAGTGAGCGTCCTCGCACATCCCGACATTCCCGCATCGTGTTTACGTCGATGATGAGGAACACCGGGAGTTTAATTCCCCTTTTCCACGAAAAGACTTTATTTATTTTGGCACTGAGATCACGATCTCTCTAACCCAAGATTCACAGCAGGACTTAAAGCGAAACCGTCGCTCCCAAAATCCTTTCCTGTAAATCCTGAACGGGCCGAGGACGCTGCTGAAGCGGAGGTCACGACCTCCAAGCAGTAACTTCTGTTTTGTTTCTGTTTCTTCCTGATCATTGAAATGTGATTAAAAACCCTGCAGTGAAGCTGCCTGTGTGTGAGCCGCTGAAGGAAAGTAAAAGCTTGTGAAATTAAAAACAAGACTTTTTGAACTCCTGAGATGAACGACTTCAGCGGAAATGTTCGAACAGCAAACGCAAAACAAAAAATCGGTTTGCAATCAGAAAACACCAAGAGCTCGCCGTGGTCTTCGTTCTTAAATGGGGGGAAGCGTCTCTTCCTCAGACCTGTCCAGCTGGTGCTGCTGAGCAGCAGCGCTGGTCGCTCCGCCCTCAGGGTCACGGTGCCGTCAGCGGGGTCACGAACTGAGAAGATGGTCCTCTCCGCCTCAGACCTGAGAGAGTAGGTGAGCACACAGAGCTGATGTGTTTTTGTTCTATAATAAACTGAACAACCGAGGAAAAGCAGACAGTAAAACTCTGCAGCTCTACGATTGCACACATTACACAAACTTCCTGTTTTGTGGGCGTTCAACAGTGTTTCACAGGAACTGCCCCCCAACAGCGTCATCACTCACCCCGCGTGTCTGAACTGAGGATAAACGGCGGCGAGCCTCACGAAGAGCTCGTGCTGCAGCTTCAGCGGAGTCTCTCTGAAGATGGAGGCCGGCCGGTCGTACAGAGTCGTCGCCCTGCAAACGTCAAACAGTAAAATGTCGCGCTGCGATCCAGAGTGAGAACAGAGTCACTGCGGTTAGTTTACTGGTTTTTATTAACTGCATTAAAAACTCGGCCCTGCAGTGAAACAAACGTGAACATCAGGAGCCTCACAGAGGACGGATCACGGGACCGTCCACAGCAGAGCCGAGACTTCGAGCAGGTACGAGTTATGTGAACACATCGTCCGCAGACCTGGAGCAGCGTCTCCTTTAACTCTGCTCCTTCAGTGTCTCCTCAGGTGTCATACACATCACGGCCTCCAGAGGCCGCTAGTGAGACATCTGACCTTTGTTTCAGTCTTTCTTTCCTTCATCAACTTCACTTTAAAGTGACACGTCTGCATGTTTTTATTGGTGTGTTGTGAGAATCTTCAATTTCAAACATCTCTCAGATTTTCTGCCACGAGCATTCGTCAGTGAATGAAAAACAGCCATGCAGATAATAGAAAGAGGAAGTCATACTTGATGCCCCAGTTTTTCTGCAAGTCGTCCTTCATGGCGTTGGTGACGCACAAGTTGTGAGACGCCAGAGGGCCAAAGAAGCGCTCGTACCTGAAAGACGAGAACGAAAGCGCCCGTCAGAGACGACAGAGACAGAAACACCTCGCATCAGGATTTAACATTAAGTATTTTTATCACAGTCCTGAGGATCAGGACACCTAAAAGCCCGCAGAGCGCCACCTTCAGCCTCTCAGCGGTACTCACCACTTTGCCAGTCGGACTATGGGGTGTGCCGGGCCGTGGCTCAGCGCCATGATGGTGTAGCCGTAGTTGTGCCAGTCGATGATGAATCTGCTGCCACGCAGCAAACACACGAACCAGGTCACTGCGATGCTGGGCAGCCCAGGAGGATTCTGGGAAACAAAGGCAGTCGTTGATGTTAACAGAGTGAAGTATTTATAGCAGAGTTCTTTATCGTTCCTCTCGAGTTCATTTAACTCTCAAAATAAACGTTTTTGAGTAAAAATGAGGATTTTTGTCTTAATTTAAACAAATAAAAAAGAAGAATGGATGAACCAGTGATGTTTACGTCTGTACGTGAGTTACTGTTCCCCCTGTGAGAGTCACAGGTAACACACCTGCATCAGAACATGCGCCTGCAGCTCCATCGTCAGCAGGACACGGAGCAGCTGCAGGGACTGAACAGTCACCTTCGTCACATACGAGACCACTTTCGGTCCGACTGCGAAACAGGAAACGGGTTCATTAAAAAACAAACCGTAAAGAATCACATCCTGTTTGTTGTTTAAGCGCAGATGTAAATGTACCTCGGACACCTTTCAGCTCTGCGATGGGCACTATGGTGATTTTCTCCTCGCTCAGCACGTCTTGATGAGGTTTGGTTTCTGAAAAACAATCACAGCACAAATTCTTCACTTTCACAGCCGACACGGGAATTTTTCAGGCACGATGAAACAACTTCCTGATTGTTTTTAGTCCAAAGCTCACATTTCGTTTTTTGTTTCTCAGAACGACCGACTGTTTGTCTGAAACTCTTTTGGTTTTCAGTGCTGTAGAAACAAAAGGTATTTATTTTCTATCAGGTCATGTTTATAACGCACAGCTGAAATGAACCCGGCTCAGTTAACCTGGATGTGCTGCACCGAGTTTACGTTTTAGTCATTTTAATAGAGTACATGATATTACTTCTTTCAAACACCACCCTTACAAAGAGGATCGGCTCCATCTGGGATCACTTACAGCGACCTGCTTTGAGGTGTTTTCTGTCTGTGGTCACTTTGCATCCTTTTTTTTCTGCATATACTTTAAAGTCACGTCTTTTTCTTTATCTAAAGTTTGATTTATCTCAACCTGCTGAAAGCACCAGTTTTATACTTGGATCAAATATTCTTTTCTTTAGATTTTTGATTTGGAACTTTTACGAGTAACGACATGTAAACGCTGCTTCTTTAAAATACCACTCCTTATAAATCCTACAGGCAGAGCGCTGCGGTATTGATGGAGGTGTAGAAGTTGCAGCACATGTTTCAGGAACAAATAAACTCGCACAGTGAACCACCTCACTATACAGCTCCAACAGGATGTAGACGCTTCAGTGCTTGTTTCCCCCAAACCTCCAAACATTAGGAGGTATGGACCTCCTCTGTCACTCCAGCCCTCCTTCACTACATCCAGAAATATCATCAGAGGTCGTCCTCTTCTCCTCCTGTGTATATCCAGTATATGTACGCTCCCTCCTCTGCACACCTCAGCCTCTCTGACTCTGAGATGTCCCTCTGATGGACTCATTTCTAATCCTTGTCTCCACCCACGCCGCCCTGCCTGCACGTTCTTCTTCACCTCCTCTTGTGCACTGTATGGATGATTGACCCCAGGTATTTAAACTCATCCACCTGCACTGGCTTCTCTCCTCACATGTCCACCTGTCAACGTGTCTCTCTCACTCACGTCTATTCTGTCTGGATTGTACCAATTTTCATTCTTCTCTCCAGATCATACCTCCACCTGCTCACTACTCACACTACAAATCACAGTGTCGCCACAGGGACTCCTGCCTACCCCCATCTGTCTGCTGACCAGTGGGCTCAGGGTCGATCCCTGATGTAGTCTCACCTCCACCTTAAACCCACCTCCCCACTGTCTCTCTGTCCTCATACTGGTACGAGGATACGCTGGTATCGGTACCTACCTCACCATGTCGGTACGAGAAGTGAAAGAAGCTGACTGTTTGATCTCAGCGGCAGGTGGGAAACAGGTGAATGAATGTGTCACAGGAAGCTTCAGTCTCACCTGAAAACCCCACGAAGGTCACATGGTACCCGTGTTTACTCAGGGATAAAGCGTGATACTGCATCCGAGGACTGCGCCCGATGTCCCCCAGCACCAGCACGCAGACCCGCCGGGAGGTCCCGTCGTCCCGCCGCCGTAGGCTGCGGCCCCACAGCGGCAGCAGCGCGGCAGCGACCGCCAGAGACACCGCGGGCCACCTCACAGCCGAGTGTGGCGCCAAAAGTCCCGCTAAAAGCGCCAAAACCGTCAGGGAAACTGCCAGCAGAGCCGTGCAGGAGCAGCGCGGCGCCATGTTTGTTTGAGATTTGTGATGACGCGGCTCATCACAAATAGGCGGGGCTTGATGTTTAAAGGAACCGCGCATCGTATCGTGACGCGTTCATGTGCAAACCAGGAACTTTCAGTCTCAGCCGTCAAAGCGTGTGCTAACTTCTATTGTTATCAAAAGATAATATTAAAAAACCCACAAAGAAAAAATGAAAAAGTAGGGCTTTGGTAGCACATTTACATTTTGTTTTTTAAAAAAGAAAAATCTCAGAAACATCTTTTCACAAACATTTTGGAACAAAGAATAAAAAGTTTGACTGAGCAGATTTTTGTGTATATATTTACACAATTCAACATTTGTTCTGAAGTTTTGTGCTTTTCAAATGTGAAAATCTACTTTGTATTAACCAATCTCTCTTTAGGATTTGTTCGGTTCTATTCTTCATTTAGAAACAGGAGGATATAATATATACACATCAGAATCAAAATAGGATTCAGGATTATACTTTACTGTCATTACACATGTATAAATACAGTGTAACGAAATACAGTTTGCATCTAATCAGAAGTGCAAGAGCAGTAAGTGCAATACTTTCTTAATCCCTGAGGAAATTATATTATACACATATACACGTATAAGAATGCTTGACATTGATATGTAATATATGTTTTCCAGTGCCTTCCAGAAAATATATTCATAAAATTTATGCATTAATATACTATAAACAAAATTGTTTAAAAAATCTAAATAATAACATATACATATTCATCAATTTGTAAATGAGCCTGAAAATTGTACTCGTGCTGTCCACACTGTATTTTTCTGATGAAATAGTCTGACTTATTATCCTGGAAATGCCCTGCACACATAAACAAAAACAAACAAAAGAACCAAAAAATTCAACATTACTGAAATAAGAAAACTGCCTCAGATTTCTAATTTTTCTTTGTACGTTGTATTTAGAAAATCATTTACATTGTAAGCAAATTATTGAGAAATTTACTTATTGTTACTTCCGCTTGTAAATACTTTTAAAACCAGACTGATCTTCTATACTAACCTTTTGTGGTCAAATATTCTGGCTCCCTGCGCCGCCCCACTGGAAAATCCCGCATACATAAACCTCACCTCACTGTGGGAAACTGCGAGGAAATATGATATTAATTCTGTGTACATTTTCCACTTTTTGAACAGCTTTTGTCTTCCATGCGTTGCAGCTTTCAGGCCACTAACTGACTTTTTTAAAATGTAATTTTGTTTTTTGGTTTCGGTTAAATAAACGTGTAAATGGTTTCACTGCACATCACTTTAAATCCTCTTAGGAGGTGAGGTGAGCTTTTCTTGGTGTATTATTTTATTCTAATATTAATTCAAATGAAACGCAGTAAAAATAAAATGTCATTTCGTGAGCCCCTCTGACGTCATGGATATTTCCTCCCCCCATGCTGAGCCCTTGACTTTCCTCCCCCCGTGTTAAAGCGGAGACAGGCTGTCCTCCTCCGCCTCTCTCGGTCTCCCTGCTAGACTGAAGCTGTCCCGGACCTCAGACCGGATGATGCGGGTTTCGGTGCTCCGGCTGGCCGCAGCGCTGGCTCTGTTTGCCGCAGTGTGCGGCTCTCGGGCGGAGGTGATCGATGACATCCTGAGCAGCCTCTCCCGCGGAGTGTCCTTCCTGGAGCGGCAGCATGAGCACATCAACCTGGACGGAGTGGTGGGGTTCGTCATACTGCAGGGTAGGACTGTTTACCAGCTGCAGGAAAACATCTGGAGAATAACAGCTGTTTATGGTTTGCTTGTTTTGGTGAAACTCACTGATTTGAGATGCAGGTGCAGATCGAACAGGTTACACAAATATGCGAAAGCTTTTAAAGTGAAATGCTTTTAACCTCAGTGTCGACTCAGAGGTTTTTGTCTCGCAGTGCCTGAGAGTGACACATTTTCTGCTTCACTCTCAGACTTTTCACTGATCTGTATTATTTTATAGTAAAATACAGTAAAGTACAGCGCTGCCAGCACAGCTACTGCTCTGACATTTGATTTTATGACAATGGAAACCCCAAAGTAATCTAAAAATAAAGTAAATCTATTGTTTTAACCCCTTCTGTCCAAAAACAAATGATGAACATTTCCAGAATAAAAAGTGTATCTCCCCAAAAAACGTTGATTTTGTGGCCGTAGCTTCTTAAAGAGCTAAAGTGGGATCATGTGTATTCAGAGCACAGAGGATAAAACGATGGCCAGTATTTTCTGCACGGCATTTAATATTCTGATTGGCCAGCAGCTTCTAGGTGCCTGCTGAGGGGCAGCAGTCTGTGCAGCATTAAACTGTAAAGTCGCACACAGGTCACGTTACACGTTTTTAATGTGAACGTTTGATGCTGTAAGGACAAATAAAAAGGAAGCGTGTGACTCCGCTCCACAGTGACAAACATTTAAATCTTGTTGGTTTCAGCAACTTTGAAGACAAACAGTCTTTGTTTTGCGTCACACTGTTTTCAGGTCTCACCACCGCTCGGCGAACAGTCCGCAAGTGTCTGCAGACGAGTCAGGGTCTTCCATGTGTAACATTGTTAAAAAGATGCAGATTACAGCTCACTAAATGACACAACACTGACTGAAGCTGCGCCGCCACATTTGGCTAAATAGTTTCTGCTGTGGTTTGTTTTCTCACCAGGAAAACGAACTGACTTTAATGTAACAAAAAAAATAATTTCCCCCAGGGATCAATAAAGTATTCTGATTCTGATTCTGATTCTGATGTGAGGCTGTGTTTGCACACAGAGCTCTGTTTGCACAGCAGAGATCATCTTCATGCTTTATTATCTTTCCTCATAAATGCAGATGTGCAGCAGCTGCTCTGCTGTTTATGAAACAGAAAACAGCAGAAAGTAACAGCTCAGTATTCACCATCTGCCTGCTTTTCTCATTTTAGACACAGACCGTATTTGAACCTTTATATTTTCTGTATGTTGACAATACACAGCAGCCTTGTGAGAATCACAGTTTCTAAGTTATAAGGCTTTTTGTCAATTTTCTACCAATCATTCATGAAGCTGACCTTGAAGACCTCGGTGGATGTAAGTCGGCATTTACAAACTCAGCCCGCTCCAGATTTAGAGAGACAGACATGATGCCACTCAGGAGATACACCTGCAAACCTGTTGGCAACCAAAGCAGTCACACAGAGGCTTTCTGTGCAGCTGACCTCTTTGCATATGCAGCTGACTTCATCAGGCAGCCGGCTGCTGGCTGGTCTGCAGGTCTGTGTGACTGAGGCTGAAGTAAAAACACTGAAGAGCTCACCTTTGAAATAAAACAGGAAGTAAGCCAAAAGAGGGAAAACACAAAGACAAAAGCGAGGGCATGAAAAAGAACAAAGGAAGAAAGTAACAGATCAGAAAACCAACTAAGGGCCTACCTTTCAAAATAAAACAGGAAGTAAACCGAAAGAGGGTCCATCCACAGGAGGACACAGGCAGAGGAAATAAAACCATAAAGCAAGTTTACTTACATCCTTTTATTTTACGAATGAACTCTTTCTTCCTGTTTTTGTGTCTCAGCTGAGCTGAAGGAGGCGGTCCGGACGTGGCCTCACACCGACCCGGTCAGCTGGGCTCAGAGAACCACCGCCGTCGCTCTGGTCAGACGTCTCGACCAAAGTGTGGAGAAGGCGAACGCTGCACTGGAACAGGACGACCCAAAATACTACAGAGGTGAGACTTTCAGACTCCGTGTCCCAAAAGTCTGCAGGTACAGTGCTGATCCATTTAGTGGTTAATTCTTGGAGCTGTTATGGTTTTTATGTGGAAGAAATATCTTCAGATATTAACACATGAAAAGGCTCAGGGCAGTCTCAGATATGTATTTTTTATTATCACACCTTATATTTATGAAGGTAAAAGTGTCAGTGATGTTACAAATCTGTTCTTCACAGTGACACTGAAACGCTACAGGTCAGTGAACACAACATGGAGAACAGACAACAGTCAGAAAGCTGAGAGACAAATTTCAGTTTCACTGCTGTGACGTCTTCTGTAGGTGTTTCCTGAAAAAGGAGGAGCTTATTTAAAGACTGTTTGAACTTATAGGGGTTGTTTTTGAGTTAAATTTGTATTTAATTATGTTTTTAATCATCACGACGTATTGATTAAGGTTTAATTGTATAATTTAAATATCTGACTTGAGAGAAATGAGCAGGCAGGTGTTGCACAGACGTGCAGGTGAGGTTTGTTGAGATCCTAGCAGACTTTAACACTTGTGCGTTTCTTGCATCCTCCTCTCAAGAGTTCGAGCCCCTGTTGTCGTGGAGTTTCTGGCTGATTCCTCAGGAATGGTACACCACAGATCCCAGCCTGGTTTATCCCTCCACCATGACCACTGAGTGTTACGACGAGCAGCTCAGTGACAAATGTCTGACCCTGCTGCTGGGAACCTGGTAGGAACCCACACCAACACCCCAAAGAGTCTGGCTTCAGAGGCTCTTTACTGTGCTGGTTCCCCTACATTTGGATTGTTGGACTGTGCAAATTATTCACCGGCCGCAGCCTGTTTTTTAACTTTAAAAATGCTGATTTACACTAAAAAGAAAGTTCTTTATCTCATTGTAACTGTCAGTAGTTTGGATTGTTTTTCACTACTGTGTAATTATGTATGAAGGTAACAATACCTGTTAGCTGAGGTGAGGACACTCACCTGCCCGAGTCGTGTGTGTGTGTTCGGACAGGAAGATGAACGGGACGCCGTGCATCGTCACCAAGCCCTGCCGGGACACCATGACTCGTTTTGGGTGTCCACACTACTCTCTGTCCCACCAGCTTCTCTACTTCATGATCGGAAAAATGGTGAGCAAACAAAGATGGAAACAACACGTAAAACCACTCAAAGACCCACAGATGTGTGTAACACTAACAAGCATTTTGGAGAAAGAAACAACCTTATTTTAGGAAGCCTCACAGAAAGAGGCTCCAAACCAGATATGAGCCTCCTGTGTGGAGTTTGCATATCGGCCCAGAACCTCCGGTTTAACTCAAAATACCAGATTAATGCTGCCTATCTCTGCCCAAGCTGAATTTTAAATCTTTTACTTCCTGGTAAGACTCATTACATTTTCATTAAAAATTTTATTAAGAGTCTTTACATTTGTATGTTTTTCC